TCAATGGTGACATACCAGATTCTTTGGGCAACCTAAAGAACCTGAATTATTTGTAAGTTTCAAAATCATGTTATTACTTCTTTTAAACATTTGGAGATTCGATAACCACTCAAATTTAGCTAATGCCTACACCTTTTCTCTTGTTTCGAGCAAGACAGGCGGTTAAACAACAACAGCCTTACAGGACCCTTCCCCGAGTCTCTGTCCACAGTTGGTCTCACTCTTGTGTATGTCTTTTCCCCCTTCTTTTGTGTGTTCTACTTTCCCTTGAAGTATAAATGGGAAAACCTATAAGTAGAGATTTGTTTGTTAATAATTTCAATGAACATTTGTGTAGGGACCTTTCTTTCAACAATTTGAGCGGTTCCTTGCCAAAGATATCCGCACGAACTTTCAAGTGAGCTATATCATTTGGTCCACTAATGCTTAGTTCCTTGTATACTTTGGTTCCTTTCTCAGCCCTATTTTGTTTTTCTTTTCGCTTCAGAATTGTTGGAAACCCTTTAATTTGCGGTGTAAAGGCTGCGAACTGTTCTGCTGTCTTTCCAGAGCCACTATCCTTCCCACCTGATGCTCTAAAAGGTATATATGCACGTTGTTTTTCTGTTCCTTCCTATAGTCTTCCTTGTGACACTGGTGACAGTATGCATTCATGAATTTGGCTTTCTTAGAATCAGACTCTGGAACAAAACGCCGCCACATGACTATTGTCCTTGGTGCAAGCTTCAGTGCTGTCTTTGGTGTCATAATAATTATTGGGTTACTCGTTTGGCTGCGATACAGACACAACCAGCAGATATTCTTCGATGTCAATGGTAAGTTTCTTATATATAATTTTCCTACTTATTGAGATCTCAATGCTAGTATCTCAGATAGTTTAACAGATTGATAGGGGTGCTTGTATCTTAGGAGGTATGATTTCGATTCGTCGTGATATTAGTTACCTTAAGGGCAACAATGTCGAAATTAATTAGTAATGGTGCAAGTCTGAGTGTTTGAATGTTTCAATCAGTAATCTTTCAGATTTCAGCTCTGATATTTTTGTAAAATGTGCTAACTTTATTCATTAAAAATGAATAGTTAAAAAAAATCCAAATCCAAAGGCTCATTCCATGTATTTAATTTCTTCTATCCAAAACACAACAAAAAAGGTATTGTATGTAGAAAGCACATGAGTCAATTTATTCATATAAAGATTATTAGCACAGGATGGTAATAGGAGATAATAATAAGTTGGGGACAGCTAACAACGGGTAGTGACTATACCACTCTCTTTGTTGAATTAGGTAAAATCTTTGGAAACCATTTAAGTCGTTCAACCTTCTTTTCTGGCGAAACCTTAGGATTTAAACTGTACTTAAACCATTTCTTGGATACGTTTTCATGCAACCAATGATACTCTTTCTCCCGACCTATGATAATCCCTGTATTCTTTATTGGGTGGGTTGTGCAGCAGACCAATATGACCCAGAAGTTTGCTTGGGGCATTTGAGGAGGTATACATTTAAGGAGCTCCGGGCAGCAACAGACCATTTCAACTCAAAGAACATCCTAGGTAGGGGCGGTTTTGGGATTGTATACAAAGGAAGCTTGAATGATGGGACTCTGGTTGCAGTTAAAAGGCTAAAGGACTACAACACTGCTGGTGGTGAAATCCAATTTCAGACGGAAGTTGAGATGATTAGTTTGGCTGTCCATCGAAATCTTCTGAGGCTTTGTGGGTTCTGCTCAACTGAGAACGAAAGACTTCTTGTTTACCCTTTTATGCCTAACGGAAGTGTAGCCTCTCGATTAAGAGGTTAGCATTTTGTTTTAATTCTGCTTGCTGTTATTGTCACCCTCTAATCAGAACCTAGCCTCCTATAATCTCTTCTCTAGTCCAACTCCCAGTACCATGCACTTTGCATGCCAATATTGATCCTTCCAAAACTAAACTGCAAAATGATATAAATCAAATTACTTTATTATACAAATACGGTGATTATGATTCAACTAAATTAAATCCCTTTATTACTCTTCCTGCATTTCACTGACGGCAACCATTTGTCTTCCTTGTTATCTGTTCAATTTGAGAGTGTTCTTGTTATATGTTCAATACGACACTAACTTCCTTTTTTTACATTCTGTATTTTTTCCTCAGATCATATACATGGTCGACCAGCACTCGACTGGGCAAGGCGAAAGAGAATAGCGTTAGGTACAGCAAGGGGGTTGGTTTATTTGCATGAGCAGTGTGACCCCAGAATTATTCACCGTGATGTTAAAGCAGCCAACATTTTGCTTGATGAAGACTTCGAGGCAGTTGTTGGAGATTTTGGGTTGGCAAAGCTTTTGGATCACAGAGAATCTCATGTGTCCACAGCTGTGCGCGGCACTGTTGGCCATATCGCTCCAGAATACTTGTCAACGGGTCAGTCATCAGATAAGACTGACGTGTTTGGGTTTGGGATATTGCTCCTGGAGCTAATCACAGGTCAAAGGGCCTTGGACTTTGGACGAGTTGCAAACCAGAAGGGTGTAATGCTTGATTGGGTACGCTCTCTCCCTGTCTCATGCATGCACACATGTAAGCATGTAACTAATTGCACGTATCAAATAAAATTATCTCAATGTAAGTTAAAGAAGTTGAAAATACCTAAATTGGATTACGCCAACAGCGTGGTGTGGAACTTTCAAACCACCAATTAACACATGGCTGCTGGCTTTCCCTCCTGTATCTGTCGCGATGTTACGTACATGTGATCCTTAGAGCGTTGCTAGAAGTGTTAAGAAACTCGATCTGTTACATGAAATATAAATATATTACTTGCACAATCGCATTAACGCTGAGTTGCTGTGTAACAAAAATGCAGGTGAAGAAACTCCATCAGGAGGGAAAGCTAAATCTCATGGTGGATAAGGATCTAAGGGGCAAACTCGACAGGGTTGAGCTGGAAGAAATGGTTCAGGTTGCCTTGTTATGTACTCAATTTAATCCTCTGTACCGACCAAAAATGTCGGAAGTATTAAAGATGTTGGAAGGTGATGGCTTAGCCGAGAAATGGGAGGCGTCGCAGAAGGTCGAGACACCAAGGTTCCGGCCGTGTGACCCACGTCAAAGATATTCAGATTTTATAGAAGAATCTTCGCTTGTGCTAGAAGCTATGGAGCTTTCTGGTCCTAGATGACAACTATTTTTCATTTCTTTTTCCATCTATATCTCCCACTTCATAAAGTTAATTTAAGTTTGAAATATCAGAAATATGTGATTGTTGATAGCTGTTGAATGCATGTATTCATCTGTAAAAATGAGAGAAAATTCCATGTAAAAGCTGCCTTTTCTTTTTCTTTGTTGGAAAATCAATTCAGTTGATCGAGCTTTTTGTCTGAGAAATTTGTTTGTAGTTGCTTTTGTTCTAGTTTTGTTAAGATCTGAGATTCATATGGTAGGCTCAAATGCCTGGGATGTTGAAACAACATTTCAATTGTTGCTTCTTTTGGGATCCGAGCACCTTTCTGTGTCAGTGTCTTTATATTCTTAATGCGGTTTTTAACTTTTTTACATGATAATACAAAATTTCGAACCATTGGGATGTAGAAAAGGATGCAACCCCGGGTTGGTAGGCTAGTTGGAATAGGTTGTGATCAGTCCAGTTCATTTTCGTTATGTCAAAATGTTAGATAAACATGATAGGTTATAAACTCACATGAGTTAGAAGTCCTATCTTATATGTCTAACAATTCCATTTTACATTTAAGACTCAATTTCATCTAGCTCACCAAATTCCAATTTTATTGCCTCCATTACTTCATGACGTTCTCGTTAACTAACAAAACAAAAATTAAATATGTTAAAGTACACTATCCTCAATTTGTACGTATTTCATTTCTTTGCGATGAATAGGTACTTGTATCTGAAAAACGAACACGATTAACGTTGGAGACTTGGAGTGATTCGAAACTTGGAGCTTAGCAACCTGTGCAGACAAAGCTGGTGGCTGTACTTCGCGTGTAGCGTGCTCCTGCCACCTGCAAGACATCATAGTCGCCGACTCACAGCCTCCATCAGACACCACCAGGCATCAAAATCTCAACGCATAGGTAGAGTGATCGGCAACCATCAATGTCCGCATGTTATGTTATGGGCCTCAGAACAAGGCCACGTGTCCTCGTACGTGTCGGCGCGAAACCAAATCGTATTTGTGTCGTCTCGGCAGTTAGTACAAGAAAACTCAAAATTTCAAAAATCCTCTGACAAAGCTGCCCCTCCGCTTCGAACCATTAATGATGCGTTTATTTACGCCGAAACCCTTTCCCAAATGACTAATATGTCGACTACTTATACGATACATCCCAGGGTTAGGGTGTAAATTAAAACAGTATTAAGGGTATTTATGTGCATGAAACTAGATGTAGACGGGTATCTTTGTAATTGCATTTGTCTCACTGTCGCTCTCCCTCCACGCCAAAGAGCAGAAGAAGCCTTTTTTGTTCCAGCACTCTGCTTCTCTGCGGCACACGCACCGCTCCCATAACTTTTTCTTTAATTTAATTTTTTATTTCTTTTTTCCATGATTTCATATATGAAGGGCTGCCATTCCACGCTTCATCTTGATTGTTATCTCCTCTCCTGATCATGCAAATGAAATTCACATTTCACTCGTATTTGCTGTAAATCCTCTGCATTGTCTTTCAGCCATGGTTTGGAAGAAGCAGTTTTTTTTCACCAAGAAGAAAGATAACTTCTGGGTTTGTTTTGGGAATTGGAGTTTCAGTAATTGTACTGGGTTGGCTGTTTTTTACCAACTTCTTGAAGAGTCCTGCAGTGGAGACTTCGATTCAAGGGTTTGACCGTTTGAATTCTTCTTCTGTTCCATGGCCTTTCTCCTTTTCAAGCAGTTCAGAAATGCAGGATTTTGTCGACAAAACCCATGAAGCAAATGAGTCAACGGTTGCTGGGAAGCAGAATTGTACTCTTTTGGGGGAGGCTCATTTGGGAAATTTTACAGAGGAGGTTAAAGATGAGAGCTTCGGGGCTGAAGGGGAAATGGGTAAGCAGAAAAAACTGCGAAAACGAGTCAGTAATTTCTGAAAACGGTAACTTTTTGAATTCAAGTGAGGGAGGAAATGGCTTGGGGATTGCCCATTTGGGAAACTCCTTTGAAGTTTTGGAAAATGGAAACTTGCATGGTAAGGAAGGGAGGGTTATTGGGAATTTTAGCTTCTCTGGGAAAGAAGATGTGCATGCAGAGAAGGCAGTTGATGGTAGTTTTTCAACGAATTCTAGTAATGTGGATGGTAATGTTGGGAAATTTGTGATGAAGAAAAGGGCTTGGAAGGCGGCTCATCGAGAAAATTCGATTGCAAAAATTGTCGAGTATGATTCTCAGATGGTGAAAATGCAGACTGATTTGTATCAGCAATGTGATATTTTTATGGTAGGTGGGTTAGAGATGATTCAAAGCCATATTATCCTGGAGGTTCTTGCCCATACATTGATAGGGATTTTAATTGTCACCTCAATGGAAGGCCAGACAATGCTTTTATAAAATGGAAATGGCAGCCAAATGAATGTGACATTCCAAGGTAAAATCCATCTTCAATTTCTTGATGAATTTTGTGTTTTTGAGCTTAAATTTTTTTTTTAATTTAATGAATTACACAATTGCTCATTTAATTTCTGAATGAAAAGGTTATCTCTGGTAATAAAAAAATTGTTCATGGGCCATGCATGTTAATATTGGTTGAACATGATTGGATTCTAAACTACGTTTAAAGAAGTTGTCTAATATTGAATGTGTGAGTTAAGCCCGTTGGTCAGGGTAGTGTGCACGCCACCCTTGCACCCAAGTCCCCTTACCCGTAGTTTAGAGTAGTTTAGGATATCGACTCTTCAAAAAGAAAAGTGCTCTAACATTTTTATGTAGCGGTTTTTGATGTCCTGCCATGTAAATCTTCTTCTCATAGCTTTGTTTACTACTCATGTGATCCTCAGTCTGAATGCCACTGATTTTCTGGTGAGGTTGAGGGGAAAGCGGATGGTTTTTGTGGGGGATTCACTGAATAGGAACATGTGGGAATCTCTAGTTTGTATTCTTCGCCACAGCATTCGAAACAAGAAAAGAGTTCATGAGATTTCTGGGAAGAGGGAATTTAAAAAGAAGGGCTTTTATGCATTCAGATTTGAGGCAAGTGTCATACATCTTCGTATGTTCTTAAGCGAAGAATCAGTATTCGGAATGAAAATCTCTAATCATCCATGGTATTCCCACACTTGCAGGATTATAATTGTTCAGTGGATTTTGTTGCTTCTCCATTCCTTGTTAGGGAATCATCATTCACGGGTCAAAATGGTACGTTTGAGACATTAAGATTGGATTTGATGGACCAGACAACTTCAATGTATGATGATGCAGATGTCATGGTTTTTAACACTGGACGTTGGTGGACACATGAGAAGACTTCTCGTGGGTGCGTGCTGTTATTTCCTTTGTTAAATTCTTTTGATGCTTTCCCCATTAAAATCTTGTGACAGAAGTAGAATGTAATTGCAGTGCGCTACCAATCAAACTATTAAGTCAGTTGACTGTAGATTATTTCATTTTTGCATTTGGTGGTCTTACAGAGAGGACTATTACCAAGAAGGAAACTATGTGCATCCAAGACTCCAGGTTCTCGAAGCATACAAGAGGGCTCTCACCACTTGGGCCCGATGGGTTGACGAGAACATTGATGTCGACCGGACACAGGTTTTCTTTAGAGGATATTCAGTTACCCATTTCAGGTATAGGACGATGTTTTCCCGTTACTTTGACTCACCTCTCTATTGATCTCAAACTTTGATGTGTTGGAGGAATCCAGTTTTGGTTCTTTTAGGATGTTTATAGTTGTATAGACTTCAATGAAACTGTTTGATTTGGTTGCAGCGGAGGGCAATGGAATTCGGGTGGACAGTGCCACAAAGAAACGGAGCCAATCTTTAACGAAACTTATTTAGGGAATTACCCTTCAAAGATGAGAGCTCTAGAGCATGTAATTGAAGAAATGAAAACTCCGGTGATATATCTAAACATAAGTAGGCTTACCGATTATAGAAAAGACGGACACCCTTCCATTTACAGAATGAAATACAAGACAGTAGAAGAACGAATTACAGCTGAGGGGTCTCAGGATTGCAGCCATTGGTGCTTGCCTGGAGTTCCAGATGCTTGGAATGAACTGCTATATGCCGCTCTTTTGAAATCCGGATGGGGGTCACGCGGAAACTGAACAAACCTGTATACATTCGTTTGTTAATCTTTAATCATCTCGGCTTAATTTTGTGTACCGCGAGAGTTTCCCAAGTACCATTTTACATGCTGATTCAGATGATGCATGTATAACGGTGCAATTTCGCAAAGTCGGGAAGGCTTGGTACTTACATCCTACGTTCAATAGATATACACAATACAGTTTGTTGTTTCATCCATTTTACTAGCAATATTTGAATTTATGTCATAGTTGATGCATGCAACAAGAAGCACAATTTGAGATCATAGCATCTGAATTAACATATAACAGGAACGATGATGCAATTTTTTATTGGGACACTTTGGATGTGACCCTTAATTACCAATGTTATTTGACTGAAATCTTTGTGGTTTTTAGTTTTTAATCGAAGTCTCTGACATTAATATAATAATGTATTTTTATGTAGGTTATTATATTTTTAAATTAAAAATAAAATTTTAAGTTATTTATATAATGAGATTTTAAATAAAACCCATAATTTATGGGATGAAAAATATTAAAGATGAAACTTTGCAATATATTGTGTGTGTGTATATATACACACATGGGTACGTTCATCAAAATTAACCAAAAAATTATTGTACCAAAATATTGATACATTCTTCAAAAACACAAAAACAAGAAAGATATTAGGCTTAATAACATTATTAAATTTCTTCTATTAAACTTGACATGGATACTTTCTCAAATCAACAAAATAGAATGTTCCCATATAAGTTAAAAAAATAGATTAGAGAAAAGATTGAATGAATTTTATATAAAAAAATGTTACATTTTTATATAACAAATTGGTATATTTAAGAATAGGTACATATAAGATTAAAAAATTAAAAATTTAATTTAATGAGTGCAAACTTATTATAATTTTGTTTTTTATATTTTGACAATGTTTGAATTGAAAATTAATTAGGAGTTTAATAAGAATGTAAGTATTAAAACCCTAAATCAATTACTAATTTTTATTGTAAAAGCTATATAACTTACATGTAATTCATTAATATATTAATGCTAAAATTTTGATCAAAATCTAAAAACTGATAAGATCTTAATTAATGAACAATACAAAATAGGGACCGGATACTAATATACTCTTTTTTATTTGGACGTCAAGGACGTGCGAGTTTAGTTTCAAGTCTCATTCAAGTCATTACGGTCAACATGTGGCCTTTATTGATCTAGTTATCAAAGTTTTATTGTTTCTTTTCAAAATAATAAAAAATAATTGTCTCAGCTCGGATTTTGTACATTGTTAGTTTTACATGATTCAGATTATGCATGTATTAGGGTGCAATTTAAGCAGAATAGGCGCTGTAGTATTAACAATTTATGTTCAAATGATACGGTCCAACAGTAATATTACATATGCATTTTACTTGCAATGCTCGAATTCATGTCATGGATTGATCCATGCTCGCAAGAAGCACCGTTTGAGTCAAACAAAACTACATTCCACACCAAATCTCATGAGCCATAGCAAACAAATGTAGTAACAACTAACACATGGAATATGCCCATCAGCCATTTATAGGAATGGCAACAGTACGTTTGGTTTGAAGGCGAAAATGTTATATTCATTCCTATAAGGTTTTAAAAGTCACTAGGCGCTAGTCGGGCGGCGAGCTGGGGCCTAGCGCCTAGGCGGATTAGGCGGATTTAAGTGAATCTATCATATTTCATGTAAATAAGTGTCTGCTGAAATATATATAATTTCATCATAAACTACAAAATAGAATGCATATATATCATGAAGTATTGGAACATAATAAAAACATGTGAAATAAGGATATAATGTTTGTTCATTCAAGTATGCAACAAGTCTCTTACAATTTATTGGAAAAAAAATAAAATGCAAAATGAAAGTTATGTATTTTCTGTCTAAGTGAGTTGCAACCTAGGCGGTGTGGCTGGGGCCTAGGCATTAATCGGGGCGGTGGGCTGGCGCCTAGCGCCTAGGCGGGGGGCCTAGGCGGCGCTAGGTGGGGATTTTTAGAACAGTGTTACTACGAAAATTAATTATATTCATAACTGCAAATTAACCATTGGATATTATCCATAACCATACTCACCAGATAACGAATTCCTTATCGGTTAACGATTATATCCATTTTCGTCAATACAAAAATATATATGTTCAATTGACGCATGATAATTTAGTAAATATTAATTTCTTCATTAAATAATATATGTATAAAATAATTTAATGAATGAATTTTGTGAAACATAAAAATTAAAGCTAAACATTGATAATGTTGGCTGATATTTGATATCTCTCATAAGTACCATTGAATTCTCATATATTTTGATTCATAACAAAACTTTTGAACTTTCCCACATATACAATTCACACGATGCAATTTTTGTATTCTCAAGATAAAGAATTCGGTTTAGATTTGGGGACACATACGGATTGAAAACCTCTATAACCATATCTAAGACCATAACCAAATAATATTTACGGTTTTTCCCTATACCCAAAATATACCTGAATTTTCATACTCAAATCCAATTTATTCAAAAAGTTATCAATGATTATTGAATTTAACAGTTAAAATTGTCATTCCTAGCGATTTACATTAATTGTAGGCAACGGCTACGTTTAACGAGATTTATTTTTTAGTGGAAATGCTGACAAATTTTTCTTACAATTTTTTAGAGCCGTTTAGGGTGTTAAATGTCGTTTTCGAGTTGTAATTTTGACTTGATAAGGAAATTAATTAGTGGTGTTTAATTCAGCCATGATATTATATACAATCATGCAGCACAGATCTTAAAGGAGAATGTATACGAAAACTAAGTGAAGTTATTTAAATTTATCCTGGGGAAGATAATGGGAATTCATGTTCCCCATCTGTATCTATAGGATTATGATAACATGATCAACCATCAGACATGTTCCAAGTTGATCGCATTTTCATTTTTGTCTCCCAAATGCCTTTAGAAAAAGAATACTTTAACCCCAAAATAATTTAAGAGAATCCTCCATTCTTTTGACCAGACAGAAAGACTACCTTTATATGCTGGCTCTGGAACCTTATTTCCTGTGACGACTAAATGCCCTCCGCTCCACTTGACTTCATTTTCCAGCTATTTTCTAGCATCATGCTCTCCACCTCCACTTATCTTATGATCCTACGAACTCACGTGTATTAACAAGAGTACGTGCATAAAGAATGCCAGTTAGTTTTTGTATTGGTTAATTAATCAAACAAGGCTAAATAGCCAAAATGGTCATTGAGATTTGCATAACTCATCACTTTGGTCCCTAACATTTCAAATTGATAAAAGTAGTCTCTGAGATTGTCTACCATCCATCATTTTGGTCATTTCGTTAAAAAGTCCGTTAAGTGTTCCGGAGCTCTTGGCTGGAAGTTTGGGCAATTTTTAAAGCTTCGTAACTCAATCGTTTCTTAACCAAATTCGACCCATAATATATCAAGATGAAGATAGGAAAGTGTAGAATAAGATTATACCTATTTGGAAGCCCAATGTCTGCTGCAGATAGCCGGAAAATAGCCTCAAAGTTCACTGGTCTGAGGGAAAACTGGAAAACTTGCCAGAAACTGGGTAAACTTTAAATGTTCATAACTTCTTCAATACTCAACGAAATCAAGTGATTCAAAAACGAAAATCATACTTCTCGATGAGATGAAGAGAATTGTACCCTTTTTTTTTTATGGCTAACGCGCCTTGATTTGGTCGGAAAATGGCTCGAAAGTGGCTGTCTTGGTCTCGAGTTAGCCACTTTCGAGCCATTTTCCGGCCAAACCATGACGATTTACCCATCTAAAAAGGTACCATTCTCTTCGTCTCATCGACAAGTATGATTTTTGTTTTTTAATCACTTGATTTCGTTAAGTATTGAAGAAGTTATGAATGTTTAAAGTTTACCTAGTTTCAGGCGAGTTTTCCAGTTTTCTCTCGGACCAGTCAACTTTGAGGCTATTTTCCAGCTATCTCCAGCAGCCATTGAGCTTTCAAATAGGTATAATCGTTTTCTACATTTTTCTATCTTCATTTTGATATATTATGGGTCGAATTTGGTTAAGAAATAATTGAGTTACGAAGCTTTGAAAATTGCCTAAACTTCCGGCTAAGAGCTCCCGGACACTTAACGGAGTTTTTAACGGAATGACTAAAATGATGGATGGTGGACAATCTCAGGGACCACTTTTACCGATTTGAAATGTTAGGGACCAAAGTGATACGTTATGCAAATCTCATGAACCATTTTGGCTATTTAGCCATCAAACAATAACATTACGTAAAAAACCAATTCAGTACTCAAAAAACTATATGTACTGTACCTTTTTCATCTTCATTTATGGTATAACTTTTCTTGGGGATCCGGGGGATCCCATGATTATATTCGTTTATCGTACATCGTGCAGTCAGAAATTATTTGAAATTTAAAATTTAAAATTAAATATAAATAGTACCTAACAAAAATTGACTGCAAGATGTACGATGAATGATCATGATCACAAGATCCCCATATCCTCATAAAAAGAACCCGGCCTGGATCATTTTCCTAATTTTCGCACCCGAAGTTGTATTTATGCAGCTTTTTTTGAGGATATAATGATCCGAAAAGAAAAGGTAATCAAGGACAGCAATGAACCACAGTTTAATTAACTAATTAACTAAAAACTACGTGATCTACCAGAAATGCCCAAATACACTTAAAACTATTGCTAATCAGGAATGAAGATCCTTGTCATTGGTGTCAACTGCAGGTCAATCCTTCTGTTCGAGAAATTTTCATTGTGCCCGTAATACGGATAATACATTGCATGTTATTATATAAGTCACGGGAAGTTTAATTTTTTTTAGTTGTTAATTTTTTAACATAAGTATCTTACTATTTATATAATTACACGTAATGTACCACTCCGTTTTTCAGGCATACTGAAAAATCTCTCATTCCCTCAACCACCAACAACCAATAATTCCTCTGTTTGACCGCCACAATTCATTAGTATTTACAATTTTTTTGACAAAAGAAGCATTTAAAGTTTCTCAAAAGCTAAAAAGCTTAGAGAAAGATTGCATTCTCCAGCTCAGTTGTATGGTGGTGTCCAGAATTTGCAAAATTAATTTGAGAATAATGCTAAGAAAACTAAATTTGAGGACAAAATTTGTAAATTTTGAGACTGCAAATATAGATTTCGACTT